GCAAATGTGTGTTCCTCACTCGCATCTCTGTGGATGTGTTTCTGTACATTATTCATTGTGGATTCAATAGCGTATGTTCTCAGTAGAGAAATTTCCTTTAAGTTGTTCACAATAATTTACAACATTCAATCCCATTACCATTACACCTTCCCATCAACATTATTTCCAATTTTCCCAACCACTACAGAGGCCCTAATTTATTTTGTATTGCCTGTAGCACTGTAGCACTGTCCTCGAGTACTTTCTGAATATAATCAGCTAGTGCCAGAGGGTGGAGATGGGGAGATGATCCCCGACTCATTTCTACACCTCCCAAAGGGCAGTCTGGGGAAAAGGGGAACTGGGGACACATGGAAACATCTGTTTATTTCCATGACCCCATCAAGGCTTAACCTGTCCACCCATGTCTGGGCCCTCAGCTGTTTCTAGGCATGTACCCAGAGGAGCATTTCATCGAGAAGCCTGTGAAGGAGGCCATGGCCCGATTCCGCAAGGATCTTGACACCATAGTCAGTGTGATTGCCGAGCGCAACAAGAACAAGAAGCTACCCTATTATTACTTGTCTCCAGACCGGATTCCCAACAGTGTGGCCATCTGAGTAAGTCTTGTATGACTGACTGCTCAAGGCTGACTCAGCATACAGACTGCCACCTGCGCTGGTGGGCATGTTCATGGCCAGGCCGCCTGGCAGCGTACTGCTCCGATGTCCCCCGAGATCCTTGGCACACTGTCCCAGGTCTCAGGCTAACCAAAGCTGGGCTATGTTACAGCTAAACTTTGGTGTGTTTTCTTGTTTATCTCCAGTGGTGAATGAACTTGGATCAACATGTGTGAACAGTGCTTGGGCCCTTGGCTCTCTGGTGAGGACTGTGTACTTCCTGCCCTCCGCCCAGCTCAGCTTTTCCATAACTGGGGGCAACAGCAAACCAGGATAACTGATGGAGGCCTATTCTTGTTGGGGATACAGAACAACTATTTTCTACTCTATTTATGCTTAGTTCAATTTTTTGCATATAGATGCCCTATAAATTCTTATTGAATAAAAAAGATTGTCATAAAAATAAAGCTTATTTTAAACATATCTCTCATCTCAAACTTTACAATAACCTTAATTAGCTTATAGCCCATCCCCCCAAGCCAAAAAAAAATTAGTTATTACATCTATCCAGGGATGGAGCGATAGCACAGCGGTAAGGCCTTGCGTGCAGCCAGTCCGGCCAAGCCGGGTTCAATTCCTGGCTCCTCTCGGAGAGCTCGGCAAACTACTGAGAGTATCACTTCTGTGCAGCCAAGCCTGGCAAGCTACCCGTGATGTATTCAATATGCCAAATGCAGTAACAAGAAGTCTCAAAAAAATTGGAGACGTTACTGGGCCTGCTCGAGCAAAATCGATGAACAACGGGAGGACAGTGACAGTGGACAGTGACATCTATCCAACAGCTCCTTATCCCCGGGTGGCATGGCACTGCTTCCCCCTCCTCTTCCCAGAAAGATCCTTCCCTTTCTTTTTATTTAATATAACATGCAATTTTTGTTCATTTTTATTGTGGCACTAAGATTTACAATATTGTTAGTCATACTTCTCATGCAAACATCATTTCAACCTCAGATCCATCACCAGTGTTCCTCCTTCCCTCCACCAGTGTCCCAGGACTCCACCCAAGGCCTCAGTTCTATAGATCTTCAGTAAATTTCCACTTCTGATGACTGACAATTTGCTGTTCCCTTATTGTTTGTTTCCCTTAATTTTTTATCCTAAATATGGGAAAGATATTATTTTGTGTTTGCTGTTGGGGAGGTGGTGACACCTACACACACATAGATGAATAGAGCGAATCTGAAATTCCACCCAATTGCAAATCAATGATTAAGCTGATAAAGAGAAATTTCTTTTTAAGAGGTATATAATTTTTTTTAAATAATTTTGTGCTTACACATTTAAAAACTTATATAAAGTAGGTAAATCCTACAAGTGTAAAATCTAGTGAGAGTTAAGAAAATTAGGAAATTTTGTTTTCTTTTTGGGTCACACCCAGCGATACACAGGGGTTACTCCTGGCTCATGCACTCAGGAATTAGTCCTAGTGGTGCTTGGGGGACCATATGGGATGCTGAGAATCAAACCCGGATCAGCCACATGCAAGGCAAATGCCCTATCTTCTGTGTTATTACTCCAGCCCCAAATTAAGAAAATTTTAAGGGGAAAATCTGAATAGTATTGTAAGTACTTTAACCAAAGAAAAGGTATCTTGGTTTTATATTAGAAAATAAAAATATTGCATAAGTGTCCGCATTAATAAGTAAAAGATAAAATAAATTCTCTGTAGAGAGGTTGGAGTGACAGTGCAGTGGGCAGGGTTCTTGTCTTGCATGTAGTCAACCTGGGCTCAATCCCTGGCATTTCTTATGGTTCCCCAAGTTCATCAAGAGCAATTCCTAAATGCAGAGCCACAAGTAAGCCCTGAGCATCTTCAGGTATGGCACAAAAACAAAACAAAAATATCTATGGATTTGAAAAAAAATCAGTAGCCACAATCTGGAAGCAACCCAAATGCCCAACTACAGATCAAGCAGTTGATACACACACACACACACACACACACACACACACACACACACAAACACACACACACAGAGGAATACTAAGCTCCAAGAACTCTAAGAAAGAACAAAATCATGCAAGTTGCAGTAATATGGATGGAACTAAAGAATACCATGCTAAGTGAAGTTGGTCAGAAGGAAAAGGACAGATACAGAATGATCTCTATCATATGTGGGGCTTAAAGACACACAGCGAGATACAAAGAGCCAAAGGCAATAGAAGGGAGAAGTGATCCACATAACTGAGTTGGAGTGGGAGGTGGAGGAATGAAAATGTATAAAAGCCCTTAGCAAGTTAGGGCAAACATACCTTTCTTACGCCATGGTGAGTGCCATACTCAATGCCACATGCTGTGAGGTGTCCAGTCCTTTAAAGAAGTTCCTGTAACAGTTCTTGCAAAACTAGTTTCAACACTATGAATTCTCTAAGTGTGGTCTGTCCCTGAAGATCTGTTGTTGCTTCAAATCTGAATGAGAATCTAGCTAGATTCTTGGATGCTAGTATTCTTCGTGAAGTGTTCATTTCACAGATTTTTGTACTATATCCCACCGTTCTCTTCTGGCTTGCAGAGTCTCATTTGATACTACTGTGAATCAGGTGGGTATTGCTTTTATATAAATTCCAAAAGAGGAATTCATACACAAAGAAAGCAAACCCTTTCCTTTGTATATAAATTACTTTTTTTTTTTTTTGGAATTTACCTTGCTGCTTTCAGTATTCTATCTCTGACTTTGGTTTTTGTCATTCTGAGCATAATGTGTCCTGGAGTTTTCCCATTTCAGTCTAATTTGGGCCACCCTTCTTGGCTCTTCCAGCCCAGCCATACAAGATGTGGCATGTACCCAGACACAAGCCCTGCAGAGGCTGGGATAAAGGACAGGCCCTGGGGAAGAGCTTGGTCACAACCCTGACAGAACATGAGCTCTGCACACCTCCTCCAGGTATGCTATTCACATATACCAAGGGCTGGTCAGCTATTTTCCATCAAGTTTATAAGCAATTAGGGCCTTGCAGCCCCGTGATCTACCCAAACTAATCAACCTTGCCATGGCAGCAGGAAATCAACTGACTGTGTAAATGAACAGGCAAGGTCATACACCAGTGACACCTTCCTTCCAACAGGAGTTGACCACCCCACCAAGAGGGGAATGAAGTATCCCAGCAGTGTGCCACATGGTGCCATACAGCCCATCATTTTGCGGTGGGTGTCCAGGAAAGAAATGCCTGAGGGGAGCAGACCCTTGAGGGGAGCAGACCCTTGAGCCTATCAACAGCAGTACACCACCTGTTGTCTCTTCAAACTCATGTAACTCACCAAACCACCAGGCAGGCATCTTTCCCTCGCACAGTGACAGGAGCGAACTCCTCTCTCAGCTTGATCCATCTCACCACTGCCTCTAAACAATGGCTGAGAATTTGTGTTTGGGGGTGCTCTGGCACGCCTCCCTCTTGCCACCACATACCTTAGTAGTTTCAGCTGTCTGTAGTCATATCTTCCTGTGTCTAGGCCTGGGCTTCTTAAAAAAAATGTTCCATTCACAAACCCCTTTTGCCCTGAGAAATGGAACAGTGGCGAGCACTTGTCAGAAGTACCTCTGATTTGTTATGTGGCTCATTTTGAATTATTTTTTTAAAAAGTTAGACACATCATAAGACACTCCCTACCCATTTTCCATAATTACCACACCACAGTAGGCAACAAATCATAGAGGGAAATATATATATGCCTCTTGGAGAGCCCGGCAAGCTACCGAGAGTATCCCGCCCGCACAGTAGAGCCTGGCAAGCTACCCATGGTGTATTCGATATGCCCAAAACAGTAACAATAACGGGTCTTGTTCCCCTGACCCTGAAAGAGCCTCCAATACAGCAATGTTGGGAAAGATGAGTAAGGAGAGGCTGCTAAAATCTCAGGGCTGGGACAAATGGGGACGTTACTGGTGTCTACTCGAGTAAATAGATGACAGTGATACAGTGATACTGCACATTCAGAAACCATACTCTATTGCCAAACTTTTCATGGAACCTATATTAAGTGGCCCACATAAGGAGTCACTACTCCCAGTTCAAGTAAGCTAGAATTTATGGAGCCATCTGGTCTGCAGGGTCAGTACGAGGAAGCTGAAAAGGAGTTCGGATCAATGTTCCCAGCCCCTGCAGGAAAACGCTTTCATGGAAAAACTCCTTTTTAAAGAAAGGCTTTATTGCTGCAATTAGACACTCCCAGGTAGATCAACAAACAACCCCCACTGTACAGAGAATTATTTCAAGTGGTAATACTGAGAAACAGTGAACATACACAAAAGGATAAAAAACTAGACATTTAGATAACTAGAAACTGTCTAAGAAAATCTTCAAATGTGAAGTGCCTTTTAGAAACTACACCACACGTGCCAGTGTAAATTTGGTTTTTTATTAACAATCACCTTTCAATAAACATTGCATCTAAATAGGGTGATGAGCTGCACAAGTTAATTACTTCTCAAGATAAATCCTTTTTTCCTTCCCTGTTTTGGTCATCTCTTGGGCTAGAGATGGAAGCTGCGTATTTCAGAGCAGACCCAAAGGGAAAGAATTTCCAAAGTGTATTTGCACCAGGCTGGTCCCCGGCGCCAGTTCCCTGGCTTCCCCCAGCCCTGCATCCTACCACCAGGCAGCAAGCAGGAGATGCCCCAACCGGCGCAGGCCTTCCCTGAAGATCCCAAACTGGCCCAACTGGAGGGGCATGGAGGTCTGCAGTCGGGTAAGGTGCACCTGAACACTTGGAAATGTAAGACTGGAAATGGGACTGAAGCGAAAGAGGAAGAGACATTAGAGGCTTGAAGTAAGAAGAGACCTTTGACAGCGCTTCCAGAAAATCCTTACGCTTGGGCACAGAAGCCACATGACTGTCGGCAATCAAAGGCGGAATCCCTGGAGTTGTACTTAGTATTGGGGTTGAAGACAAAATCAGAGAGGGCTTGCGAGTGACATCTCTCGCCCAGGCCTGGCCTACAAGTACCAGCTCTCCTGGTCTGAGACCTGCAAGGTCATCCAACATTTCTACAGGCTCATCCAAGTGTCACCCTCCCACTAAAACCAGATACAAAATGAGGGGAAACTGAGAGAAAGACCTCCTGAAGAACCTAGAGAGCAAGGTGGCCGACTAAAGGAGCACCTGGCAGAGCGGCAGTCCCACTAGATGGCAGTGCAACACAATCTTGCCAGGGTTTAGCGAGCCATGGTTACCATCTGTGGGTAGAGATTGCAGCTAGGACTAAGATGGGAGTCCAGGAGCTCAGCTAGAAACTGCAAGAAAAGAGAAAGAGAAGAGGGCAGCTGTCTGCCAGTCTAGGGGAGGCAAGAAGGAAGGATGTGGAGACAGGCTATACACAGGCAGCAAGCAAGTATCTAGGAGCTCAGCATAGGGTAGTGTGTGTGGGGGGTGGGGGGGTGGGGGGGTGCAGGCTGAGATGAAAGGTGAGGACTTCACATGGGAATCTGGCTAGGCATGGGAGTAACATAAGTGTTGGGAATATCAAAGTACCTATGCCACAGGGGTCACCAGCTGCAATGGGTAGGTACCCATGGGCAGTTCCTACCTAAGGATACTTTTCTCTCTATAGACATCTCAGTGTTCAGCACAAGGGGTCCTACTGAGGGGGATAGCGGAAGGGTCCCCTCCGAAAATCTATCCCAGGCTTCATTCACTCGACCACTCACCAGTGTCAGAGTGGAAGGGACAAGAAGCCTTGCCTGAGAAGCTGCTAGGGTGTACAGGTAGGGCTACCCCGCGGTTCAGCTCCCCTGAGTGGACAGTCTGTAACTGCCTGGTTTCGTCAGGCTGAGAAGGGGTGTAGGTAATTGCACTTTGGGGCACAGTGAACACAGGCACCAAATGGAAGTGGCCTGGGAGACACACACAGTAGGCTGACCTAGTTTCAGAGGTTGGCTGTGACAAGCTATACCTGCCCAGCCAGAGGAAGGCCATGGCAGAGTAGTTCCTTAATCCAGACCCACTACTCCTGTGGAAGGAGATGGCAGGGCAAAGCCACCCTAGAGTCAAGAAGCCCTAGTCTCTGCCTGGCATTCAAACCAAACCACAGGCATCCACTTTGAAAGGCAGGGGAATCATCCTGTTTGCTGTATTCTCTTAGTCTGAGGCACCTAAGGAGCAGAGGACTGAGGGTCAGACCCCTGCTCCCCACAATCCCCAAACATTTCACCCTCCAGAGGAGGTTCTGCAGATGGAGTTGCCTAGAGAGCTCGAGTTGAGTATCTGTGAATACTCTTGTCACAGTACAGACCCTCCTAGCCTGTTTTCCTGGAGTTGACTTTTAAAAAACTCTCATGAAGCTAGGCAAAAAAAATCAAACTTTTCAAGGGACAAAAGTCATCTGATAGCAATGATTTTGGTCTTGCTTTAGGAAAATGGTCTTGGAGATGACCATCCTGTCATAATCCCTGATGACTGAACAGACTGATCACAGGGGGCAGGGGCCTCTACAGGATTAACTGTTCAGTCTAGTTAAGGCGATCAAAGGGCGAGGGTGTGGCAGGAGGCAGTGACAGTGCACCAAGGCAATTACTGTTCACCCCTGGCCACTGTCCCAGATCCAGCCCAGCTGCTTCTGTGTTCCAGAAGTTTTCCAGGAGTCTCCCAGGGAGAAAAGCTGGCTGAGGTGGCAGGTGCTCACAGCTCTTGCTGTGTAATCTTCTGCACCAGGGCTTACGCATTCAATGTGAAGCCAAAGCAGAGAGGTTTTACTTGAAAAGAAATAGCTCTTAAACATTGAGTTTTATTATATTTACTCACTTCCTTTTGTGTAGATCTCATAAACCCTGCATTTTTCAGTGCTGAAAAAGAAACATCTGAGGCAAGCCTATGACATAAAGACACGTCATAAAACAGGCTCAAATCCATAGGAATTATGTTCAAATTGCCACTTGGCATCCACTAATTCCCACAAAATATTATGAAAAAGTATCAGACCTGTTTATCCTGCTTTATAGTCACAAGTCCCTTTTATTAACAGAGCCTATATCACATCTCTTAGAATATATAAGGCAAAAAGGGCTGTAGATCCATTATAACATAATGTTAATAATTGGGGTAATGACGGGAAGGTTTCTAAATGAGACGTTCTTTTCCATGTCAATCCCACTGGACACACATATTACAAAATAAAGACTCTCTTTTTATAAAGTGCTGTTTGCTTAGTGAATAATTGCCACCATATACAGAGCACCACAGCCCATCTGCTTGTGAGAAACGGCAGTGGCAGCATTGGCAGAAGGAGCGCATTTCCCCAGGCTCTCCTGAGTACAGAGGGAAATCTCTCATCATGGCTAGACTCCCAAACGCTCATCTCTACAGTAGGGAGGGATGGCTGCCAGCTGGAAGAGGCAGCACATCAGGGCCTGGTACCACCCTGCTCCTGCCATCCCCTGGCATGTTTCATGTTTTCATTCTGTTCAAGACCAAAAGCAAATACCCAGTCAGGCAGCATCCCATCATGGTGTCCTGGCAGTAGATATTCCACCTTCTCTTCCCAGACACTTGCAGAGGTGGAACCCAACCAACTGGGCACAGCCACGGTGAAGGCTTTCCAGGGGATTCACTAAGGAGGGTTTAGAAAAAGAGAAGCCATTGAAACTAGTTGCCTGCCCAGTCTATGCTATTAGAGGACATAAGAAAAAGTACACAATTGGCAGTAAACAATTTCCTTCAGCTGTTCACAGATGTCCAAGAGCACTACACCCTCCACACAATCAGACGTGAACAATTTCTGCTCCAGTGTCTTCAGGTTCTGTGCAACAAGAAGAGTTTGTGTCGGAATGACAGATTCCACGTCCATCTTTATTTTCAAAGTTGGGCTCTGTTAGTGCAGATTTTTCAAAAATATTCTTTTTGCTTGTTTCTGGGCAGTTTTGAACATAGATTACTCTATTATAAGCCTTGAGTCTCTTCCATAATTGCACATATACTTTGCACTGAACGTACATAAAAAGAAGTCCTCCAGTAAAGCCAATGGCCACAACCACCAATTTAGTCCAAAAGGGCCACTCTAGGATTCCTGAAAGGGAAACATCCCGGTTAGCTTGTCAGCAGATGGTATTTAAGATTCGAAGTAAATAAAGCAGTGGCTGAACTTCCCATAACCAACAGATTCTTTTTTTTTTTTTAATTTTTTTTTATTTTTTTATTTTTTTATTAGTGAAGCACCATGAGGTACAGTTGTAGATTTACAAATCTTTGTGCCTGAGTTTCGGTCATACAATGATCAAATACCCATCCCTCCACCAGTGCCCATTTCCCCCCACCCCCCCTCCCACCCTGCCTCTGTGGCAGGGCATTCCCCCTTGTTCTCTCTCTCCTTTTGGGTGTCGAACCAACAGATTCTTAACTCATCAACCCTTACTTCAAAAGGAGTACACTACCGTTTATCTGGCTTTTCCAGGAGGGAGTTTGTGAATATTCTCACTCTCCAAGCTTTGACTGCTTTCGGTTCCCCCCACCCCCAACAAGTATTACAATAACAGAAACATTCAAAAAGGGTGGTTGGTACCTCATAATTGGTGCCTTGCTCTAGAAGCCCAGACATCTGAGGTTTGGCTTGCATCTTCAATGTGGAATAAAGCTCCCATCATGAGACCCCAATGAGTCATCCAGGACCTCTGTGCTGAGCTCACCCTTTCATTCTGAGCACATACCTGTTGCCTGCCCCTGCTTGATCTCCTCAGCTGTGCGGTCGATGAGCACATATAAGGACCAGACCACACAGGTGATGGCAATAATATGGAATGTCACTGAGCACATGATCTTCCTTCGCTCACTGGCTGTCATCTGCAACTTCTCCCACTGGAAAGACAACAAGCAGAACATGAATCAGCTCAGACTCTCAGACATAAGGGCTACAATGGAGGTGAAAGTGTTATAAATGGATACAAGTGGCTTCCCCCACCATTCCCCTTCCCCAACTAGATGATTTCCCTCAAACATCCACAGTCAATCTCTTGAAACCATTTACCTTCAACTAGGTACCAGGCACTGGTATTCTGTTGACAGTCAACTTTCAATGCAATGAAATGCAGCTGGAATCAAGATGAGCTATGAACCACCACCAGTAATACCCTTATCTGCTTATTCTTGTAAGCAAACTTCAAATGGCTTGATAAAGAATTCTATTATTCTAGTATTAATGAAAACAGCGTACTGGCTCAAGATCCAGGCGATACATTTTAAGTGCCCCTGACTTGCTGACTGGCATGAGCAAGGCAAAGAAAAGGATTGATGATGCCACAACACACTAGCAGATGGGTCACACTACATCGTGAAGGTGATGGCAGGAGGCGCTCACTCTTTGATCCTCTGCTACATTGGCAGCAACAGCTGGAAATCGATGCTAAGAGTTCCTGGTATAAGTAGTCTCTGCCAGGCCCATCTCCTTTAGGAACTCATTAATTTATTCCAAATAGCCAGATTTCTTTTTCATTTACTGGTTTCCGAAACAGAAGAAAACACATAAAAGTAGAGAAAAAGAATAAAGTGTAAACACTCTGAATATCCTCTGCCAACTCTTGTCACATTCTTTCCAGATGGCTCTATTGCAGGAGAAGCTGAAATAAGAGCCCCATGGATTATTTACACAGGTTAAAGTGCCAGAAGGCTTACCTGAGAGATCAGCATGGAGTGGGCACCTAATAAATTATAAGACGTCAATGGGAGAAACTTCTGAAGTAGTTTGTGCCTGTCTCTTTTAATATCTAGAATGTCTGATGCTAATAATTTTATACCATATCCTCATTTAATCTCTTGCCTGAGACTCACCGATGTCCCATTATTTCCTACAGCACATTCTACTCAAGCCCAATGACCCCTTCCTTCTCTGAAGATCAGAGATGCTCTACCATCACCTAACTTGGTGTATTTAAGATACCTGGTCATGTTGCTATACTATAACACTAATTTTGTGATTCTTCTTGCATCTAACATTAAAGTTCTGAGATAAGAAAAAATAGCTGTTTACTAGTGTTCTGGACACACAGACATGTTTCACAGTCATTGTTTACATCATGTTACCCCGTCAGTGTTTATATGGGAAGCGAGGACCAAACAAAGTTCGTCTTGGAGGAAGCTGAAATACGGCACCTGACAAGAGGTGACTTTCGTGTGCCCATGATTCCTTTCCTTTTCCTTGTACCCCCAACCTGAATCCAGCAAGTGCTTATCGTAAGTATCTACTAATAAATTTGCTACATTACCTTGTGCTTTGTGCTAGGGGAATACAACTAATCTCTAACATAAGACCCTAATATTAGAGACTAAGCATGAAAAGTTAGTACATATACAAAATTTAATGCTGACCTAGATATTATAAAACTGCCTGTGGTCAAGGGCCAAATGACTAACATAGATAAGCAAGCAGATTTGGTCTGAATGGGAAAAAAAGGACAAAAACATTATGATTACATGGTGAGGAATAAAGAGTCCCTGAGGAGAAGGGCATGGAAATCAGCAAAACAGACTTCTTCACAAACTGAACATACACACCAGCCCTCACTTCTTAAAGAAACAAACACAAGCAAGCTAGAGCTTCAGTTGATCCAAGGTGCGAGCTCTTTCAGAGGCACTTATTTCAAAGAGGCTAAGCCTAGGGCATCATTCCACATACTTTTCTCAAAGGTTTCAGCTTGGTTTCCATGATGAACTCGTACTTGCAGAGCTCACAGCAGCGTGTGTCAGAGCTCTTGATCCATTGCTGCAGGCAGGTCTGATGCACAAAGTGGAGACTCCCTGTGCAGTGGCAGGGGGTGATCAGAGGGCTCTCTTCATCCCCTTCACAGTGACAGATCCTATATCGAAAGGAAAGTGAGTCATCGTGAGGAGGGTCACAAGACAGGGAAGATTCTTCAGTGGAAGGTCGAGCCCTCCCCCGCAAAAGAAAATCTTTCAGGAATACCACAGGCATGTCTACCAGCACGAAAACAAACAAACACAAATGAGAACAATGACTAAAAACTAAAAACTTTCTAGCTTACCGCACCAACATGGAAAGTCTGGATGGCATTTGGCATCAGAGAGGGAAAAACGATACAAGAAATGACAAGGCAATCATTCATGGTAAGAGTAAAGAACTTAACTGCAAGGCACCTTTCAGATTGTAAGATACTAATGAAGCAAGGGAAAATGACTGTAAAAAAAGAAAATATAAAAACTAGAATTCTACCTTCCAAAAAGGACCAGTGGCTTTAAAAGACGATGAAATTTGCCTTTTACCTATAACCACTGCCCTTCCCTTCATGCACAACTACACATTTCCATTCCATCTCAGGGAGCAAACAGAAAAAAAATCACAATACCTTTCCTGGATCTAAAAATAAAACAAACCACTGCAACATGTTATAATTTCTTTCTGTGTTTCACAAGGACAACTAATAGCAGTAAGTGAGAATTTTAATCATTCGTTATTCCTAAGTGTGTATGTCAGGCTGTCACTACTAACCTCAAGAAACTTGGTAGGTTTTTGAGAAACAGAGTCTTTTCCAGCAGCTGGAAAGCACATAGGGACACCTGTGTGCTTTGGTGTCCTGAAAGGAACTGGGCTCTGGCCTTGGCCAGGCTCTCAGCTATTTGCATTTGTGAGAGGGATTTCTGATCCAATTATTTGAAGCAATAACAGCTGGACCTATGGGGCAACTGCAGAGAAGTTAAAATGGGGACGGCTTAAGGCAATGACAACACTTATGAATTCTGAAAGATTTGGAGGCCAGACAAGGATGTTACACCATGGTTAAAAAGGTAGGAAATGGACCTGGGATCTAAGGTAGAAGTGGCTGCATCCAAGTGAAAGAGGGCAGGAATGAGCCGCTGAAGAATGGCCTCTTCCACACATACTGTATTCCAGGTGGAGCAAGGGGCAAAAATATGGCTGCAGGAGCAGCCAGTGCTTAAAATCTGTGCTATTAGGCTGAAAAACTGAACATGCTATTTTTATACGTGCCTTCTTTATATAAAATACCTAATTTTTAAATGAGAAGAACCACAATGGCCTTCATTATGTGCAGCTTCTCTTCTTTAGAATCAATGTAACTACCTTAGGCCCCAAAATTTGTTTTCGTAAATGAAACCATGACTCGATTCTTCTGGGGAAAACTATGAACCAACAGTTGTCTACAGCTGCCTCTTACTTCACCTTCCTGAAATTCCACCTAGTAAATAAAGCAAGATGAGGCAATTTAGGTGTGGGGAGCAAATGCGGCCAGTACAGTGGTTCTTGGCAAACCAACCTGCAGGCATCCCCTGATGTGGACCCAGGAGAGATGGGGGGGTGCTTTTCTGAGAGGGGAGAAGGACAATCCAGGTCACTGTCCTTCTCCACTGAGCACAGGGGTGCGCGCATAGCCTGAGTCTTCAGTTTTGCAGATGTGCTGTCTTCGAAGACGTCGTCATCTCCCATTTCATCAGAGCAGAAGCCCATGCTTCCCGCCAGACCACTGGAGGACTTGGCAGTGTGCAGGTGAGCTGCGCAGCTTTCTAACTCATGGAACCTGTGCAGGCTGCTGGTACTGGAGCTGTGTGAGAGTGATAACCGGTACCGAAGCAGCCGCCGGCTTCTGGATGCCACCTCGCCGTCTGCCTTCTCTTCCAAGAGTGGGACATGCATGCCCCCTTTGCCAGCTTCCACCGCTGAGGCAGCTGAACGATTGGCAGAAAGGGATGAAGCACAAGAATATTTGGAACTGCTGAGAGGTTTGCGATTCAAGAGTCTTCTGTCTTTGTGATGGAACCTGTTAATTCTGAGACATGGGTCCTGAGGGAGGATCAGTTTGCCCTCAGAGCAAGTTCTTTCCACATAGTCAAAACTCCCTAAAGTGTCCTGGACCTTCTCACCCACGTCGTTTAGGGACCTTGAGATCTTTAGGGCTCTTCTGTCTTTGGAATTCTTAGCAGGCTTCAAGGCCTGAACCCATTCTGAACCACAGGAATTGCTCTTTGATGCCTGTAACGTGTCTTTACAGATAACTGTCACAGTGAGCCCTGGTGTCAGAGAACTCTGGCATTGAGGAGCTTTCAAGACAACAGCAGACTGCACAGGACTGTGTTGACAACACTCAGAAAACACTCCACTGGAACTGCATGCAGAGGACAGTGGAATAAAAGCACAGAAAGTAAAAACAATGTTAAGAGAATAGACATTTAAGTGAAGAAATGACACTTGTGTGGTAACGTGGTGAGAAAACAGCACATAAAACCGGGCAACTGCTTACAGCAAAGGCATACTGACCAAGCAAATGGAAAATTGAGATCCCAAAGACATGACTGCTTATTTCTAGGAAGCAAATGAACCATCATAGCATCAGAAGAAGATTGTTACCTGCAGATGTCCTGATTGGATGGCGTGACAGAAGTACGAGAGAAGGCAGACACTGGAGCAGATGCCAATGGAGGACCCCCAGCCTGCAACAACATACCCCGGTCAGTTTTCAAGATAGAGCCAAGGAACCCATGAACCCTCTGAACAGCAAGCAAGGAGTGGAGCACCTAAGAATCCCTGTCATTTCATACTGCCCAGTGGGCCACATGTATTAGCTCCCCATGAGCCCAAGAAAAACTAATCAAACAACACTCTTTTGTAAATGTAGTCAAGTGTAGCCTGAGACTGGAACAGCACCAACAATCTCCTGCAGACTCAGTGGTTTATTGCTTATACATCTAATATTAAATAATTTATGCATCAGACAGAAAAGTACTACAGATAAGGGCATCTTAAACTTTTCCACTCATAGATGACAGAGATGGTTCAACTGTTTGAGTATATGTTTTGCATGCAGGAGGCCCAGGCCAATACCCAATGCCCAGGTCAGGAGTGGCCCCCAAGCACAGAACTGCTCGGAGTAACCCCTGAGCACCACCAGATGTGGCTCCCAAACAAACAAAAGTAAACCCTTTTTCTATTTATTGCCCCTTTTCTCCAAGAAATTCAACGAGTGAGTGCTGCCAGAAACACCTAGGATTCATTATTTGGTCATTGCACTTTCAGGAATCTTTTATTGTTGGTAATTTTTTCAGCGCTCCCACACTGAGGTCACAATCCACAGTAAGCTAGGGTGTGAGGTGTATGCAAAGACAAAAGGAATGTGAGGTACCATCACGTCAGCCCTTCTCCCCAGCTAGCACTCTTTAACTTGGCTCCCAGGGATAATCCTAATCAAGGCTGCTGGACTCTTTCTATTTTTTTCTTTGGCTTTTTGGGTCACACCTGGCGATGCACAGGGGTTACTCCTGGTTCTGCACTCAGGAATCACCCCCGGTGGTGCTCACAGGACCATATGGGATGCTGGGAATCGAACCCGGGTCTGCCATGTGCAAGGCAAACGCCCACCCGCTGTGCTATTGCTCCAGCCCCATGGTGGAGCTCTTTCTAACCTCACAACCTCAAGCTGGTCCTCAGAACCTTGCGGCCCTGACAGAGCTCTTCATACATATGAGAAACTACTTAACTTCATGCATATAAGAAACTACTTAACATGTGGTGAGTGGTGATGAGATTGAGCAGGGACTCTTGAAAAGCCAAAATGAGGTAAAAGATACAGGGTATTAGGAAGCACCACAGGGGAAGAAAGATGAATGGAAAGAATAGACACAGGGAGGCCAGCTGGGTGGAGGATGCAAAACCACCCCTAGCACTAAAACCCACCCTCCACTGGGCCCTTGTTAGGACTTCTCCAGACTCCTGTTTCTTCATTCCCATGGTCCTCAAAGCCACAGGCATGTGCAAATACGTGTTACTGTCCTTCCTTTGGTTAGTAAGCCTCAGTAAACCTGTTTCATACAATCTAAACAGCTGCATGCAAACAATGCTATCAGTTGGCTGTCAAAAGTAAGTCCTCATCACTTCCCCAACCTCCCAGTCCTCCTCTGCCCCTTAACACAACCTCTTTGATTGGGAGAGCCACACAAAAGTCCTCAACTACCTTACTGAGGCTGAACACAATCTCTTGCTAGGTGCCACTCGACGAGAGTACCTCATCCTAGCACTACAGTATGGGGCCACCAGGACAGGCTACTGCTCAGAAATGTTCCCTGTACCTTCTCCAGCAAACGCACGTGCCATAACTCTAAATGTGGTGTTCATTATACAGTTCTTACTTGCCTTTCAAGTTCAGGGTTTAAATATCATTTTAATCCAACTCACTCTAAAGAAACTTGGTCTAATAAGTTACATGTTATTATCCACAACTGTATGGCTAAAACTATGCAACTTTACTCAATCAGTACAACTTCTCCGTCACCAAAGAGTCTGCTTTTATTTTCTAACTGAATGAACAAACCAATGCAGGGAATACTTTCTTTAAAAGTAATTCTGGTCAAGGATGGCAAGATAGCTCAAACAGATGGTGTGCTGTATACATGGGAGTCCCAAGCTTGGTTCCTGATATGGCATGGTTCTCTAATGCTGTTGGGACTGAACACTGATCTCAAAGTGAAGAGAAGTCCTTGTGAACCACCATGTCTGAAGTAAAAACAAGAAACAAGCATAAATCCCCCTCCAAAAAAAGCAACTCATATGGAAGTTCTTAAGAATCTAAAGTTTAAATTTGAAGTCACAAAAATGGTATCCTCAAAATAATATGGTACACTTTGTTATAATTTTTCTTAAAACAAAATGGGAGGAAGGAAATTTCTCAGGACTCATGTAGAGATTATGTTCCATTTTCATTGCGTAAGCCACCCTTCTCTCCTATCTCCTGTGCCCAACTCCCAGGCAGCCATTTTAGGTCCCATCCAATGACCTCCAATGACCTCTGGCCCAGCCAGAGAACATAAACCCCCTATGTTACTGTCCTTCCTTTGGGTACTAAGAAGAAGTTCCCAGACTATGTTCCACTCTAGGCAAGGCCAAAAATGTATCACAGAGGCTATCAGCTGGTAATTGTGTACAATGGGAGCCATCACACTCCTCAAGGAGAACTTACAAGCCTTGTCCCCCTCTGGACTGTGAGGTCGGCTCTCCTTCCTCCATGTTGCTGGCTCAAGCTTAGTTGCTCCAAATAAAGATGCGTGAAGTCCCTCCCCACAGCAGAGATAGACGGGCATACTCCTCTCCTGGTTAACAGAGGGGACTTCTGAGCCATCCCTCTCTCTGCAGTCTTAAGGGCACAACCCTCTTGACACCAAAGGGAAGGAGGGAAAGTGAGATCTTAACTGTAGAATTGAGAACCTCTCAGGGTCAGTGTTCTGAGACAAGTGTCAGGACTTCATGAGAATGTGGCCTCTTCCTCTTCTTCTAAACTTCAAGTGATCCGGGTCATAGAAAAGGAGATGCCTGGGAGAGCCACATTACTGTATGCCTAGGTTGGGTACTTGGAAAAGAGAGCAGAGGGATGAGAGAGCAGAATAAAGCCTGAGAAAGAAATCAGTCTGTTTATACAATGTGATCATTTCACCATGTATTTCCTGTTTGGGGACTACTACAGAGAACTCACATCCAATCTATATAAGCTTGTAGCAGATCATCAACCCTAAAAGACGACAGGATAGTTCCAAGCTTCTCTGTTCTTGAGCAGCAGGCACAGTCTTACCATCTTCTATGTTCCTACCCTTCATTTCATCCTCTCCAATCTCCAAAAAATATAAGAAAGTCTCAACAGGTGATGCCCAAGCCTCAACATGCCTCTTGGTAACAGAAAATATCTCTTCTTACTAGATCAAGAGTTTTCAACAAAATTTTAAAAATTTACTTAGAGGTGTTTGATATAAATACATGCCAAACAATGTATTTCCTGGTCGACTCCTTCAGTAACAGCAAAAAACCAGGATGCATGGGCCCATCATGACTCCCTGGTAAAATGATCACCAAAGCATCTTATCAATAAATTTTAAAATCTTAAATTGCTCCTATATCAATATGAGTAAAATAAACATACTTAGGCAGCTCTAACAACAGCAATGAGAAACTAAAGCCTTATAGCAGCAGTTAATACAGTCCTGGGTTCCATCTGGAAAAATCAGGGGTCCCACAATCCCTTATCCTAGGAGGATCTTGGAGGTCTTGGATCACTAGACTCTTCAGCTCTTCCAAAGAGCAGCATGCAGGGAGGCATATGGGAGGTCATGGGCAGTAGTAGACTTGAGGGAAAAGAAGAAGCCATGCCACACAGCACTACAGAGAACACTCTCTCCCCTCCCACAAAGCAGTAAATGTACACAATGGGGGAATTCAAATGGGTCAAGAAAACAAACTCAAGCCTTTTGGGGCTGGAGAGACAGTATAGTGAGTAAGGCACTTGCCTTGCACAAGATCAACTAAGATATGAATCCTCAGCACAGAATATGGTTCCCTGAGCCCCAACAAGAATGTAAAGCAATCTCGCTACATAAAAAAATGTATTAAAAGCCCTTCTTCTTACTATGTTGTGATCTATTGTGCCAAAAGAAACCTCTGGATGCTATCAAGGCTTAAATTCTCATTGATTTTTATGTTAGGAATTACAAATACTTTTAAGCAATTTGTCTTGCTGTTCTCAAGACACTCAGTGATTGTCTTTCTTATCAGACTCACTGTTTTAAATAATGTTATTAAGGCTGCCAAAACATGTAAGGAAAAGAAAAGTTTCCAAATATCCTTGGTAGAAGCTGACATTTCCCTATTCTCTTGTTTCCTTTTGAGAGAACTCACTGTTCTAGAAGGGCTATCAGAATAGATCCAAGTGGATGCCTAGTGACAGGAACTTGGCAATTTTACTCTCACTCCAGGCCACCAGTCATTACCTTCCTACTTTCTCTTCACTTCACTTTGTTCTATTACTTCTTCCCACGAGGTTTCTTCCCAGCCTCCCTCTCTTCCATCTCTTTCCTTCTCTGTTATAAATTTCCATAAGGACTTCTTTGCATTTGCCAGCAAAGTTGTTTTAAATAGCTGAGGTCTTAGACTCCAAACAAAAGCAAATTTTCCCTTCTTATCTACATCAACAGGTGCGGGGCCACAAGAAATGGTCTGGTTTGGTTCATTTGTTTCTTTTTTTTTAATTAGTGAAACACCATGAGGTACAGTTATAGACTTATAAATTTTTGTGCCTGGGTTTCAATCATACAACGATCAAATACTCATCCCTCCACCAGTGCCCATCCTCCACCAGCACGGGTCCCAGCATCCCCCCCACCCCCCATCCCCCCATCCCCCCCTGCCTCTGGGCAGGGTATTCCCTCTTGTTCTCTCTCTCTCTCTTCTTTTGGGTACTGTGCTTTTAAGCCTTGAGAAATTTGGTAAGGAGAAAAGAGGTAAAGAAGCAGGGGTCATGTTGACAACTGATCTCCAATTAAATCAAATCGATGCATAACTTTTCTCATAATAATGCAAAAAAACCCAGGTCACAAAACCACAAAAATCTATGGGGTGGGTGTGGGGGTTAAATCAAACAATTCTTGTGCTGGCAAAAATTAGGAGAAAACAAGTT